TTTTAAAAATTCTGTCAGTTTTCAGAATATTAAAAGTCCCTGGGTTACAGCTGTGAGTATTTCTCAGTGGTACCACTGTGAGGCCACCTCACACACTCTGTCGCTCACCTTGAGTGTTTGTGGTACTGAACGAGTGTTGAGTGTCTCTGGTGGCCATTTCCATCTGCAGACCATGAGTTCAGATAGAACTTAACGACAGCAACAAAGACCTTTCTAATGTTGTGATACTAGTTTTTAATCCACAATTTGACAATAAAACAAATACATTAGAAACGTGTATATAAAAGTGTAAACTAATTGTATCCAAAAGAGGTTGTAGGTAATTTCCTTTCCCTTTTTGTCTGTAGTGTCTGCACTTATTAGAAGACTAAACACAAATATGGGATACTTTCCCATATTTTATTACCCAGGAGCTCAATGATGAGGGCTTAGGGACTTTAGTATCATTTCAATTTTATGGATTCTTTGAACTTCATTACCTGGATGAGATGTGCTTTTGGGGAATGGGACTGGTGCTTATAAATCAGCCTCTTATATTTATAGACTGAGGTGAGGCCCTCCCTCTCTCCTTCCCTTCCTTCCTCCCTCTTTCCCCCTTTCTTCCTCCCTTTTCTCCTCCTCCTTGAGACAGAAGCTTACTTAGTAGTTAAAGCTAGCCCTAAACTATGTAGGCGAGAATGGCTCTTGACAACTTTCTTCCTCAGTCTACCAGTGCTGGGTTATAGGTGTAATCCACATTGTTACCTTCCCCTTCCCCCTTCCCCCTCCTTCACTCTTCCTCCTCTCTTTGTCTCTTTCCATCTCTCCTTCCTTCCCCCTCTCCTTCCCTTCATTCCTTCCTCCCCGCTTGTAGTTGTTTTGAGACAGAGTGCCACTGTCTAACTAACCTAGGCTGGCTTTATACTCTTGGTGTGCCTCCTGTTACTCAGGATGGTTTTCTTTAAGCTTTTAAAATCATACTCAATTTCATTTCCCATATCTTTAAACAGTCCCTTCCTCATTCTCCTTATCTATTTTCTTTTCCTTTTTGAATCTCACAGACATACCCATTTGTTTAGGAATATTGTGATAATTATAGTGTTTGGGATTCCACATGGTCATCTCAGCAGTGTTCGTATTTATCCCTCATCCCCCTAGGCATGGTACTTAGTTATATGGTGAATGGCAAATGAGTTTTGGGAGTAGTATTTTGAGAGGATCCAAGTCTAGCTCCCAAAGAGTATGCTGGCAGAGGGAGCCAAGGCAAACAGCAGGGCATGTCCTGACATCAGTGTGCAGACTCATGGGTGGGGGTTTGATGTTTTAGCAGCAAGGACTTTCTAGACCACTGTGTTCAAAGGACATGGGGACATTCACCTGAACTTCAGACAGACTGAGCCACTGTTGATCACAAGAGTAGAGGTAGCAGCATTCTGTTTTGGGACAAAATGGCTCTTAGGTGATAAAAGTATCTATGTCATAGTGTTGTTGTATGGATCCTGTGAATAAATACATGGAGAAGGCCCAGTACACATTAGGCCTCAAGTATCAGCTCTTACTACTGCTGTTAGAAGAATGGAAAATTCCTACAATACACTTGCTCAGTATGCAATAAATTTGCTCTGTAGACAAGGTTTGATTGTTACTGTCATTCTAGGGCTGGGCTAATCTGCTTCTGAGGTTTTCCCTCCTGGGATACTGCCTCATTACAGTGATTGGCAATGCCTGCGCTGTTTACATGATGGGCCAGATAGGTAATGTGTTTTCTCTTAGAAATTAAATAGTCACCTCAGTCTGTAACCTGGAGTGCACAGTTCTGTCTTTATCACCCAACACTTACAGTTGTACAGAGACCCAACTTGTTTGCCCCAGAGGTTCATTTAGCAAAATGTTTAGGGTTGAATTGTACATAGCTCAGTGGTAGAACATATAATTAGCATGTTTAAGACTTTAGATTCAAATATAAATACACAAAATAAAAGCATTCAATAAAGCATTAAAGTTAATTTCTTTTAGAAAGAGTATCTTTTTTTTTTTTTTTTTCGAGACAGGGTTTCTCTGTGTAGCCCTGGCTGTCCTGGAACTCACTCTGTAGACCAGGCTAGCCTCGAACTCTCGAACTCAGAAATCCGCCTGCCTCTGCCTCCCAAGTGCTGGGATTAAAGGTGTGCGCCACCACCGCCCAATTTATCTCATTCTTGTGCTCTTCCTATGCACCATGCCTGGTGAAAGTCACCAATGGGCAATTGAGCCAAGGGTGAATTGGACTCTCAGCTCCTCTAGTAATAAACTATAGGAACTCAGTACTTTCTTCTTTATGATTTAGAAACCTATTTTATTAAAAAGTTTAAAACTAAGACTACGTTAAATCTGCTGTACTATGGACCATCAAAAAAATGACATTCGTAAATGGTTTTAGAGGAAAAAATATTCCAAAGAAGTAATGCATTTGTCTTAAAAATTCATATTATTACATGTCTAACCAGGAACATTAGATGAAGGAGATAGAGGAATAATATCTTAAAGTACTGACCATGTAATTATTGTTTCAGTTGAATATAATTCATTATATTTTTCTTATTTACCTTTTCTTGTGCCTCCACCTCTTTATCTTTCAAGCTAAAGGCGTCAACAGTGTCTGCTTTGTAGGACTGCTGTGAGGTTAAATAGCTACTGTTCTGAGGTGATAGAAATGACGGAGAGCATGGTGATGATGATGCTCATTACAGGACCGTGATTCAGCCATACTGCAGACGCAGGATGCACACATTGAGGAGTTTTTGCTAAGAGCTGGTGGGGGAGTATAGACAGATATACATAGTTAATATAAGTAAACTATGGTACATAACACTAAGAGGAAGAAGGCATTATGGAAGTAGAAATCAGAGGGGCCCAGGCCTCTTAGGCCAGAGAAACCTACCAAAGGATGTGATGCTTCAGCTGAGATCTAAAGCAGAAGTGAAAGTTAGTAGGGTTGGGGGAGGTGGCTGGAGGCTATGGGCTCTTATTCTAGCCAAAGGTTTGAGTTGAAAAGCAGACCTGGTGTTTGGAAGCTGGGGAAAAGTAGTGCACCTTGTGAGGGTTGTGAGGAGATGGTGAGATATGACTCTAGCAATAGAGGCAGAAAGCAGATGATCGAGAACCTGAGAATGATCGTAAGGAGTTTGCTTTACCAAGACCGAGAGCTGTCCTCGAGACCTCTGATTTTGTTAGCCATTACAATGCTGTGACATCGTGCTATGTCTCAATATTGTTAGTAGGGAATACAGTTGTTAACCCAAAGGCACAGACTGAGAAAATACAGCTGCCAGGATTTGAACCTTGGTCTCTTTGTTTTTTATGGTTAGAATTCTTTTGATCATTGATGCCCTTTGTACTTGAAGTCTGGCTGTGTTGATTTGGAGCCAACTTTTGTATCTCTCAACTTCAGTTTACTCAAATTACATACAGCATTAGTTAGTATTAGCTTCATGGACTATTAAAAAGGAGAAAGTATACATAAAAGGCCAACTATAGTGCAAGGTGTATATTCATATTCTTGCACAGAGATGTTCTTCCTTCACAGTTCCAGTGACATGAGACAGAACCCTATGAGCAGCTTCCTACATGCTTACTTGGTTATCAGCCATCTTTCAAGGACTGTTGAAATCCACATACAAATCACCTTACCCGACAGGCCCAGCACATTGTGTTCTCCACCTGCAATCCTGTTGTCACTGAGGTCTGCTGGCGGCAGTAAGCCTGATGCTTACTCACTTTCCTAGAACCCTTATCTCTTGGATTCACTGTCTTTTTCTTCTCCTCCCAGAGCGTATCCAGCCTGTTCTGCCTAGGACACAGTGATCTTCAGCTCTTAGCTAGAATTATTCTTGAACTAGTCTGTTGTTTGAGATACAATTTCCTTATGTAGTTCTTTGGCTTCAAAGTCAAAGTTGTTCCTACCTCAGCCTCCTAAGTGCTGAGATTGTTACTTACTTTATAGTTGCTAAATTAAGCTTTCTTATGTTGGTTTTAGGGGCAGATGTCTCCAGGTGATAGAAAAATGGTATAGGAGCCACTCAGGTTATTATTTTTCTCATTGGAATGGGGCTCAGTGGGCACCAAGCAATATGGGAGGCTTTTTGTTTTGTTTGCTTGTTTGTTTTTAATCTTTTAAAGCATCCTCTATGTTACATTATGGTAATCTTCTTCTTAGCACAATTGGAGAAGTAAATGCCTACATCCAAGCAATATACCCTTTAATTAATTTCTTCCATCTACAGAGTAGACATTTACTAAGTGAGACTCTGTTCTAGGACTAGGAAATAGAGGTGAAAGCCATTGTCCTTTCCCTCAAGGATAAGGCAGATATTTGAACAAATAAATATACAGCGAATAAAGTGCTGGGATAGAGGAATGGTGAAAACACGTCAGTTTATGTTCATCGCTACTTGAAGACCAGTGATGCCTCAGAGATGATGAGAAGCTTGCACTGGACTTCGGAGGACTTGGATCGTGAAGAAAAAGTTGGTAGGAAGACATCCCAAGTGGAGGAGAGGAGATAGCACAGCTCATGGCCATTAGAAGTCAGGTGCCATCGGAGGCCGTTTAGCAACAGCATGACTGGCAGCAGGTAGTTAGAAAAGAGTTAATAATGGGAGGAGGGAAAGACAATCTCCCAGTGGTACTATCCCCAAGAACCTAGGACTTGTATGAGACCAAAGGGCCTTTTATGGCTGTCTCCCTTTTTATGGTCTCCTGGTGGCAATCATTTTCTTCCCCAAGAGGAAGAAAATAGCCTATTAACTGTGTTAATCTCTGAATGTCTTGCATCTCTCCCTACTTGTCTGCACTCCTGCTTAGCCTGACTACTGACTTTCCACACAAAAAGAAAACATACTTTATCACTTGAAAACCTATGACCTGATTGCTTGGAGGAACAAAGGTTACCAGGTGAAAGGACGTGTGTTTCGTTTGCTTGCTTGTAGCACGAGGTAGCTAGGGAGAATGAAGTCCATCCGTGACCAAACACCTATGTTCCTCTTTCACTGGCTACGTCAAAGGAGAGGAGCTTTAAGTTGCCTTGCAAATGAGGCTGACCTCTTGTTTCTGTGGAGAAGGGGCTGGTGCAGCCTGAGTTCCTGGGGAAGCTTTGGCTCTCACTGTTGTTTGTGTTTGCTTGCAGCTGTGTAAATGAGTATGGAAGATTATGATTTCCTGTTCAAAATTGTTTTAATTGGCAACGCTGGAGTGGGAAAGACGTGCCTAGTCCGACGATTCACTCAGGTAAGGGGATCTAGAATCCAGGGTTGGGCTTGTTTGTCTCAGCTGTCTTACAGTGGCCATCTTCTAGATGGGTGATCAGGCCCAGAGCCAACCTCTAGGCTATAGACTCCTTTTTCTCATTTATTTATTTATTTATTTATTTATTTATTTATTTATTTATAGACAGGGTTCCTCTGTGTAGCCCTGCCTGTTCTAGAACTCACTCTGGAGACCAGGCTGACCTTCAACTCAGAGATCTGCCAGCCTCTGCCTCCCAAATGCTGGGATTAAAGGCGTTCACTACCACCATCGATTGCAGGTTCTTAAGACACCGTTTGAAAGCTCTATTGAGTTTTATAGCCAAAGGTTTTCTAAATTGCCTAAGGGAGAATGGTATTGAGGTCTTCTCCCACACCTCCTCTTGCTTCCTCTTACAAGAGGGTCAGGTGGTTTTGTTTTCAGTGTGCAGTATCAAAAATAGACTTGGGTAAGAAAATAGATCAGTAGTTCATAATCGTCTCAAGGTGGAAACACATTAAGTTGGGTATTAAACTGAGTCCAAATATTCATTTTTAAAAAGCCCCAATGCAGATTAAACCTCAAGTTTCCTCCTGTGTCTGTTCTCATCCAAAAAACAGAGTGAATTCTTTTGGTTGATAACTGAACATTCTGCTTTTCTAAGTCTCTTAAGTAGGACTAAGCTGAGGGCAGTAAAGAATGGAACCAAATGTACAAATCTCTTCCAAGGTTGGCCTCTAGAAAATCACTGGCCAAGATTACATAGTAGTTTTTATACTGAAAGTAGTGAAACATCACTCTGAAGTTGACTTCGTTTCTCACTGAAAAATCTCAGCGACACCCTTTTCTGGATCATTGAGTATATAGTGGGATCTTGTTGACAGGCACCTTGGGAACGTTGAGATGAGCTCTTTTAAGGTTTAAGATGACCTGGTGTCATGGAAAGAGCAGAGGCTCATGGTTTTTTACCTAGGTGCTAGTCCTGGCTCTGCTGCCCACCTGCCCCCTTGCCAGGCCTCTCCACTGCACACAGTCTGTGGAAAACGAGAGCAACAGATTTGGCAACACAAACAACTTTAGGGTTTAAAGTTGCTGGAAATGTCAAGGTTTTTCCAATGCTGAGTGACTACAGACAAGAGCCTGTGTTTTCACCAAGTTTTGATCTGATGAAATTGAAAATCTAACGTTCACCAGTGTCAGGAATTCAATCAGTTATCCCAGAGAGATACTGGAGACTCCAGCTGCTTTTCCATTCCCTAACCTTGGCAATCTTAACTGCTTCTGTAAGGAGGACTTGTCCACATATTTCCCATAGAGAAAGGTTTTGGTTTTTAGTGTATTATAACATTTGCTTGATTGTGTCTTTTCACTGAGAGGTCACTTAGAGATTATCAGTCCAGTCCCCTCTTACGGATCCAGGGGGACCCAGTGACATGCTTATGATCTTGAGGCATGTAGCTGGCAAAGCTAGGACTCTCATCTGCTACTTCTTGCCCTAAAAATGTCTCCACAGTTTTGTAACCTTTGGGGCCACTCTCCTTAAATTCCTGAGATAAACCCTGCCATGAAGGATGAAAGTTAGTTAGTTTGTTTGTTTTAACTTATGATCAGTACTTTACCCACAAGCATGAGCATGGTTTCTTCTTATTTTTCTTTTCTGTTTACTTTTTATCTCTCTATCCCTTTAATTCTCCCTAACAAGATCACCTATGTTTTTGTTATGTTGCAAGCAGTTAAAATGAACTGACTTCAGCAGGTTTTGAGGAACAAAGTGGGGAGGGGGACATTGGGAAGGATTTAAAAAAAATATTTTGGCATTTGTTAGTCTGCAAACAGCTGGAGCTGTAAACCTGAAGCTTGGCAGACTTCTGCGTGAACCAAGCCAAAAAAGAAGATTGATTCAGTATTTGTAAACAGAGTTATGAATGTTTATATTTACATCATTTGCAGACTTGTAATGAAGCTTTTGCTTTTGGTTTGAAGCTCAGTGTTCTGAGTTCAAACTTTAATTAAGGAACTCTCTTGTTAGGGAGTGGATTTAATTAAAGCTGCAAGAGATAATAAAGTCCATTTTGCTTTATTCCTGGAACTCTGCAATCTGAAGAGGGAAGAGACTAGGTAAAGACTTTTTTCTTGGTAGAAGTCCTTGCAACCCCAACTCTCTCCCTATGCTTACAGGAAACATGAGAAAGTAAAGTGCATTATATGTGCAATTTTGCTAATGGCCCTCTTGAAACTCTTAGTTTCCAGTTTAAGGTAAAGTAATTTTCTCCTATTTCATGCTTACAACAATTTTAACCTCAATGATTTTGAGGCCTAGAGATGGGGAGTGGCCTATCTGGGCTCACCTGCTGGCTCCTGTTCTGATGCTGCTGCTGCTGCTCTGCTGTCTTTATGATGACCTCACTTCTCGGTGCCATACATCTGGACTGTGTGTGATTGTGTGTGTGTGTGTGGACTGTGTGTAATTATATCTGTATGTGTCTGTATGCACTGTGTGTAATTATGTGTGTGTATTTGGATTGTGTGCAATTGGGTGTCTGTCTGGACTG